TCCTAAGTGTAGTTATCTCCTTCTTGCAGGTGGGAATCTTAGGGAAGGTCTCAGGGGAGGCTCTTAATGGAATACTCATCAGCTTTCCAGGTGTGTGCTTTCAGAGTTGTGATCTCCACTGATTGGTCTGTGCCAGGGCAGGGGGTCATTAGTCAATATAGCTGGTCCTGAGGTAGCCAAGGCGTCACTTGTCTGGTTTTGCTGCTTTTCTGGGCCTAGAGCTGAAATACCACTGAGGCCTAAATGTTATCTTTAGGGGGGAAAAGGTTAGGGGGGTTTAAACCGCCTGACCAGCGACATGAGAGATCCAGGGTCCAAGCAGTATGACCAGTGATATGGTAGGGGAGGACAGGTTGCCCTGGGGGCAAGGTTCTTGTTTTCCCAGTTTTGCCCCTTGGTAGGCATCTGGAGCTTTCTACCCTGGTGAGTTTCTGTGCCTGGCCCATTGTCCTTGCTCTGGGGGTCTAACATTCCCCCCTCAAGGATTTTTTGCCACTGAATTCTTTCAGAGAAAAGGGGTACAGGGTCTATTCTGTAGCTGCAACCTGCTGAAAGGGGGCGATGTTTTCCTTCAGAGCCAAAAGATCCTTGCTCTCTGTCAGAGGGAGGATGAGGCCTGTGCACTAAAGGAGGTTGTGATGGGGTCTAGAGGTGGTATTTCCTACGTACAAGTAGGACTTGTAATAGGGGATATTCAGATTGAGCTTCAGTGGATTTTTCTTTCTCTCTCCTCCTTCCTCTCCCTGGGACTTGTCTACCAGTTGATGCCTTCACTGCCCTGTTGTCCGAAGTAGGGGCATAAGCCGCTCACTGCTTAAGTTTTAGATGGGCGTCCTAAACAGTTACCACAGTTTTCCAAAAAGATGGCCGTCGTCCTCTCACAACTGCCTTTCTTCATTTCATTAAATAGTAACTCCATTCTCAGTTCATCAATTTTGATTAATTTCCTAGTCTCCCTGCTTTCTTTTGCCTCCTCCTGTCTATTCTCAATACAGCAGCCAAAGCAATCCTTTAAAAACTGAAACAGATCTCATCACAGCTTATCCCCAAACCCCTCAATGGCTTTACATATCACTTACAGAAATTCTTACAGTGGCTTACTGGTTTCCTTATCATATCTCTGACCTCAAATCCTAGGACTCCCTTGAGTCACACTGACTTCTCTGTCCCTCATAAATACCAGGCATTCTCCCCTCCGGGTCTTTGCACATGCTGTTCTTTAGGCCTGTATGGCTTTTCCCCTAGATAGTTCATGTAACTTCCTCATTCTCTCCTCTCCTTCAAGTATTTAAACAAATATTACCTTTTTGGGGGAGGCCTTTCCTGGCTATAATATTTAAAATTACCACCCACTTCAGCATCATTCCTACCAAAACTCACTATCTCTTTTTTCTGTTTTAGTTTTTTTTTTTTTAATATATTTTTATTGATTTTAGAGAGGAAGGGAGAGGGAGAGAGATAGAAACATCAATGATGAGAGAGAATCACTGATTGGCTGCCTTCTGCACGCCCCCTACTGGGGATCAAGCCCGCAACCCAGGCATATGCCCGCGGCCGGAATCAAACCCGGGACCCTTCAGTCCGCAGGCCGACACTTTATCCACTGAGCCAAATCGGATAGGGCTGTTTTAGTTTTGTTTTATTATTATTTTTGTATTATATATAAAACACACACACACACACACACACACACACACACTAGAATATAAGCTCCATGTATGTAGGGATTATTTGTTTTGTTCATTGAATGTCATTTGACACTAAATAGATAATAAATGATGGTGGCTTTACTTAAAGACTAATCCTATCTATTTCTGTCTTCATTTTTCAGATATCTAGCAACTACTAAAGAGACTTAAAAAGTGGGGGTGGGGGAGAAAATCCCCTCTCTCAAAGAATGTACTATTTTATGGGACATATATGACTCTAATAATAAAATAAATATAGTCTTTATATATAAAACCCTAATATGCAAATAGACTGAATGGGGGAACAACCGAACAACTGGTTGCTATGACATGCGCTGACCACCAGTGGGTGCATGTGGAACATGGCAGGCGTCAGCAGAAGGTGGCAGAGTGCGGAACATGGCGGGCATCAGCTGTGGTGGGATAGTGGAGCAGTTGAGTGGGGGCGCCAGTCGCTGTCATGGGGCGAGCCTCTGATGATTACTGAAAATTCTTTGCTCCCACGCGCCCAGTCCCACCGGATGCTTGCACCTGCTGCCAGCACCAGAGCTACCACTCGCACCTGCTGCTGGCACCTGGCGCTGGCCCCGATCGCTCAGCACCGTCAGCGGGTATGGGTGGCGGCTGCCAGTCCCAATTGCCCCTCAGGGCTTCTCCACCTCCTCCTGCTCCTGAGGGGCAATCAGGTCCCGGCAGCCACCGCTCGCACCCACTGCTGGCGCCTGGAGCCAGTCCTGATCACTCTGCCCTGTCAGCGGGTGCGAGCAGGGCCGGCACCATCAGAGCATGGGAACAGCAGTGGCAGGAGCGGGCGCTTGCACCTGCTGCCGGCACCTGGCCCTGGCCCCGATCGCTCAGCACCGTCAGCGGGTATGGGTGGCGGCTGCCAGTCCCAATTGCCCCTCAGGGCTTCTCCACCTCCTCCTGCTCCTGAGGGGCAATCAGGTCCCGGCAGCCACCGCTCGCACCCACTGCTGGCGCCTGGAGCCAGTCCTGATCACTCTGCCCTGTCAGCGGGTGCGAGCAGGGCCGGCACCATCAGAGCATGGGAACAGCAGTGGCAGGAGCGGGGCTGCTGGCAGACAGGAGGCTGGGGGCCGTGGCGGGAGGGGCCAGGCAGGGGCACAGAGGATGGGCTGAGACCTGCCCTTGTGCCCACTGC